CCGCCGCCGCCACGGCGGCCGCCACGGCCTTGGCTTGGCTCTGCGCGGCTGGATAGGGCGGCACCGGGAGGCTGCCTGCCGCCGGCCAGAACATGGGAAACGTCGGGTACACGGTGGCGGCGGCGGCCGCTGCAGCCACGGCCGCTGCGTCCTTGGCTGCCCCAGAGGGCTGGTGACCCCAGAACATGGCGCCGCCACCCGGGCCAGGGCCTGACCCGGGGGGCAGGTGGCCGGATCCTGGCCCGCCCGCGCCTCCGCCAGCGGCCGCGCCCGCGCCGCTCCCGGTGCCTGGGCCTCCCTTGGGCTCGCCCGCGCCTAGCACCGGGTCGTCCTTTTTGGGGCAGAGGCCGAAGGCCGTGGGGAAGCCATAGGGATGAGGGAAAAGCGGCGGGGGCAGTTTCTGCAAGAGGCCAAAGCCCTTGCTGGGCACAGGGATCACTGGGTAGCTGCGCACGCCGGCGCCGCCACCAGGCCCTCCAGGGCCCGGCGGGCCGCCGGCTCCCGCCGCTAGACCAAGTCCCCGCTGCGGATGGGGAGGAGGCGGCCCAGGAGGCCCGGTGGCCTCGTCTTCGCCACAGCGCAGGGTTTTGTGGGGCGGCGGGCCTGGGGCCATCTCTGCCGCGCACCCCGGGCCGCCCCCGGCGCCAGCACCACCCTTCCCCTGCCCACCCGACCCGCCATTAGCGCTGCCGCCGCCTCCTTGCAGCGAGAAAGTCCGCTTGCGGGTGCCTCCGTTGAACATGGCCTTGACGTCCTCCCAAGCGTGGCTCAGTTCGTCTGTGGCCGACTTGTCACTGAGTTTGAGATGACGGCGCCACGAGTTGAAGTTGGCGGCGTCGGGCTGCGTGTACTTGGCGTCGGGTGTGCGGTGCGAGTGGAAGATGAACTTGTTGGGCGAGAAGTACATGCTGCAGTAGCCGCACTTGATGCACTTGGCACGCGAGCTGTTGTAACGCGCGGGGATGAAGCTGCCACGCGAGCCCCACGCGCACTCGTGCACCACATCGAAGGCGAAGTTCTCGGGCAGCTTGGGTGGCTTATGCTCTCCCAGGAACGACTTGCACAGGCGTTCGGCCTCGCGCTTCGTGATCATACCGCAGCGGCGCGAGGAGATCGGCATGGCCCCGGCCCGACGCAGAATCTCCAGCTGCACTGGCGTGCACTGCACGCACGTGATGCCCAGGGCCACCCGGCGGTTGTGGATCTCATTGTAGCTGTAGTTCTTGAGGAGAGTGTTGGAGATCTGCGCCAGGCAAAGGCGCTCCTGGCCGTCGATGACCAGAGACACGATAGGCACCCCGTACAGCGACGTCTCGCCCACCTGGTTGGGTTTGAGAGCGCTGGAGCCCGAGTAGGGTTGCAGCTCCTGCTTCGAATTGGGTGAGGAGTTGCCCTCGCGCCCCGGCCCCAGCTGAGTGGTGAGAGCCTCCATGCCGCCGCTCCTGCGAAACAGAGAAAGTAGAGAGCAGATGAGCCATTTTCAGCGCCACCGTGGCTCGGCCCGCCCAGCGGGGTGCGCCGAGTTGGGCGCGCGGGGAAACTTGGCTATGGGGAGTCCAAGCTCATTCGTCCCCTGGACGGGAGCCTTTTGTTATTCAGACTCGTGCTGGCGCCACAGCAAAAGCCCCCGGGGTTTGGGGGAGAAGAAGGGGTAATTGAGACCTCAAGAATGCCCCGGCAGCTAGGAACCCAATTTTGTTTTCGGATTGTGGAGGAAGTGGGGCCCAGAGACGGAGAGTGACTTGCCCAAGGCCACACAGCAAAGCCATTGCCTAACCCAGGCTTCCCAACGTCCAGATCCGTGCGCCTTTGGCTACCCTCGCAGCCTGCCCTACCCGCCCGGGTCCTGAAGCCCGGACTTTGGGGACAGGCTGCCCCTCTGCTCAGTCGCGCATGCACGCGGGCGGGCGGGGGAGGCGCTGGGAGGGGTACGGACAGGGGAGGGGCGGTCACTGCCCATCTCCAGACAGCAGGGGGCGGGGGGGGGCAAGGAGAAGGAGGAGGG